TTTAAATAGAAGAAATAAATGTCTACCAAAAAGGAGACAAAAATTAAAAAGACCTTTAAAAAAATCCACAGGTTCAATTGTGGAGAGAAGACTATGAATTCACACCAAATAAGTTTTCATATTGGAATAGTTTTTCCAGCATTCCTACAGTCATTTGATTCTCACTATCAGTTACAATTCACAGATTTATAGAATCTAGAACTAGAAAGATCAGAGGTCATCTAGCCCAAACTATTCCTGACTAGGAAACTTGTACAATATTCCCAAATGATCATCTAGTATTTACCTAATGACCTTCAGTGAGGAGGAGTCCACTATTTCCCAAAGCAATTCATGCAATCTTCCAGATACTTCTAATGAATAGGATTTTTTTTTTCCTAACACCAAATCAAAATTCTCTTTTCTGCAAATCTCAGTAATTCCTCTTCCTTCCGTCTTTTGCAATCTCCTGTGGACCCCGAGCCTATAACAATACTTCAAATACTTGAAGACATCTATCACGTTCTCCACTAACTCTCCTCCACCAACAAGTCTTCTCTTATGAAGGCTAAATTTCACCAGTTACTTCAACTTCAACTTTGGGTATAGAGTCCAACCTTATTATCATGGTTGCTCTGCTGTAAACAAACTGTAGTTTGTTAATGTCCTTTCTAAAAGGGGTGATGCCCTGTGTTCTTTTCACTAACGAAAATTTCTCTGCTCTCATAGACTACTTCTTATTAACTCATGTCCTACATGTTAACAGCCTTGTTTCTGTCCTCCTGACTAATTCCCAAAGGATTGAAAGCAGATGTACACTGGCAGTAGCATTCTGTAAGGATTAGAGACATGCTTACTCAAAACCCTCAGGACATTGAATAATAAGAATAAGGTTAAAGTTCTGAGCTAGAAGGAAATTTTAAGAAAATAAGACTTTGTCTTCTTTTGGCTCTATGACATGAGAGCTACAAAAGGAACTAAAAAATGTTCTTATCTGTGAAACAAAGGAATTTGGACTAGATAATACTAAAGTCTCTATCAGTTTTAAGGTTATCCAAATTTATGAAAGTAAATGAACATATCTACAGCTTCTGTTCTCAAGTATTCTTTATTTTTAATGCTTTTGACAAAATAAAAAAATGTGGATGATAAGATTCTTTAAAACTTACCATTTTACCTACATATTAATAACAAAAACTGAAAACATAAAAGAAATAAATTTAACCAACATACTCCATCTTCAAACCATATTGGTGAACTATGAAGTGTTAGTGTATCAGGAAATAGAATGAATTGAGGTCAAGGGCAGGGTGGGGGAAGAAGAGGGAATAGAGTCATTAGGAAATGACAGCGATGGGGGAAAAAAGCATCAATAAACATTATTTTAATAAGAAACATCAGAAACAAGGATAAGCTTTTAGACGATTATATGTTCACTTCACTTTACACATTACACATAGTTCTAAAAAGTAGGACAGTCAGCTTTATGTTAAACACAATGTAGGAATTCATTATTTAATGGAATTCTATACTTAATTTCTTAAAGCTGATAATACTTCTGATATGCAAATATATAACTGCCTAATTTACCTGTTTTATAAATTTGGATTTTTGAAAATCCAGTTTTCTTAAACTGGGGCCCACCTGCATTGGAAGCATAAAATATATAGACAAACAAAGCAACTCATTAGGAAATTTGAATTAATGTGATGTAACCATTTGTACTTTTTGTACCAAGATTTACAAGCAATACTTCAGGCAGAGAATATTAAATGTTTAAAAAGTTCCCTTTCTTATGAAGGGGTCCAAGGTATAAATAAAATGCTTTGATTTCTTTTTTCTTTTCTGGTTTTTTTTTTTAATACATCTAAAATAAGTACTATTACTCTCTAGGAGAATATATCTACAGAGAATATCTTTAGCCAAGATTACCTTTAAATAAATGAAAATATCTTTGAAAAAAATTAAATTTTAAATGTTAAATTCTACTCCAAAATTCTTGTACCAAAAAAGGCCTTACTTCTCAATAATAATTAATTTAAATTTCTCAATCTGTATTTTCACATTTACTTTGGATATGAGTCAATTTTCCACTGATTAACTATGATTATTCAACTGACATTACAGCTAAATTGGATTATCTAGACTATTTCCTTTAAAACATAACATTCTTTTCATGAACAAAAATGAGGTCTTCTACACTTTCATTTTGTTCTGCATTTAAAGCGTTGTTGAAAATGCTTCCAAAAACATTTTTAAGTAGCACAAGGTTTACAGGTGACTTATTTTCCAAAAGTATATCTATTCACAAGCCTCATAAAGATTTCACTTAATTTTAAAATGAGACATGGCCTGGAAATATATATTTTTACTCCACTGTACATAAAATGCTACAAATCAGGAGAAATAAACCCAGAGAAAAAATATAAAGCACATACCTACACCAAGCAAAGCAACAGTTAAATGCATACAAACCTATCCAGAGTCATAACCAAAAAGTCATGCACACAAAAGCAAGAAATGCATATTTTTCTTAATATATATAAAACTCTACTACAAACTCTGCCACAATAAGATGCTGATCTCAAACATCACATGCAAGTAACCAGAATAACTTTTCTATATACTTCATTTTTTAAAAAATTCTCATACTAATGAAGTAAACTGACATTAAAAATATTTTTTCTAAAAATATCCATCCCAAAACATTTTGAACAGATTTTTCCAGTCTTCCTGTTTGCATTCTAACTACATTATTTATATTATTTGTAAAAGCCAACAGCAATTATTATATTGATGATGTGTTCAATCTACAAACATCTGCCCCAAGCAAAACTGTGATATATACAGTCTTCAGCAGTCTCTTTCCTATTGTTTAGCACTTTTTGTCACAATGTCAACCACTTTCCAATTCAAACCCCAAGCACCCAGTACCTCTCCTGTTGTATGTCTTCTCTAGGGCAACCTATCTGTCCTTCATGTTCCTAACCTTTACCTACATTCACTTCCCCAAATAAAATTCTCTACTAGTCATTTCCCAACAGTATCTTATCTATAAGAAAACTAATAAACAAACCCCAAGCCAATGTGATAACACCCAACAATAAATCCTAATCATTTAATCTGTTATCCTTACCAGGAAATAAATGTTAAGAGGAGCTTCCCAAACACACTTTAAGCCTTTGTTAAAGAATAACAGTAATGGCAGGAATTTGGGACACCATGAAGGAAATAACTTTGGGAAAAATAGGCCTTCTGGAACCCTTTGAAATTATACCACAATACCTAGTTCTACTGACTTGATATAAGTTTGAAAATAATTTTATGAATTTTTTCAAAGCCTTACATGTCATTTTATTTAAATTTTTTATAACTGTGTTTGCTTTCAGACTAAGAGGTAAGATACTGAGTTTGTATTTCAATATATTTAGATATTTCTCCCAAATCGTGGCAAAGTTTTTTAGGATTTTTTTTTTTTGTTTCATTTGGGGGGCAACTATTCAATTTTCCCTGCAAATGCACAGGTTCCTATATATAGAATGTAACAGATATATAAACAGATGGACAACTGTTAGAGCTCTGTTCCCCACTTAACAGACTTGAATATAGTGTAAGTCTAATCATATCCCCTAATACTTAAGAAAAGGACCTACAAATCATGGTCAGCCAAAATGTGAATTTAGGAAGTCACATTCCCCAATACCATATGTGCTAAACAATAACTGCCACACCCAGGAAAGAACCTCAAAAGTCTCACATCCAAAGTCACTAGAACTTTGAAAATTCTAATATTACTTCTAGAAGCATGCCAATGGCTGATCTTCTGTGTTTCACAGAAAAACACACCTATTAAAGAAAAAAACATTCCCAGCAAAGACGGTGCCTACCAAAACTCATTTGACTTAACAAAATGAAGTCATTCTATTATCTCTCAGAGTAAGCAAAATATTCTCCCCTCATAAATTCTGCTCCACTAAACAGTCTTCAATAAAACGTAAGCATGAGATATTTAAAGGCAATTACTTATTTTATTGTATCTTCCAGAATCAGATTTAGAGAGAGCAACAAGAATCAATATAATTGATACCAGAACTTCCACTGTTTATATGTGATTATAAAATCATTAAAAATACTACCATAATTACTAAATGAATAATTTTGCTTAATGTCATCTTTCTGCCAAATTTTCATCTAAAAATAAATATTTCATGAATTATGGTTTAGAACTATGATTGGAAATCAATTTGTAACCAGTAATTTAATCCAAACACAAGGCATGGTATATTAGTATGTAAGATGATAAAACTAAACACTAATTTAGATATAATGAGAGCAAATGGTATAATAGTTTGGTGATTCTATTTTGCTTTCTGAAGAAAAGGATTATTTCATCTCTAATAAACTTATACCCACATTTAAATATCTTGAATTTATATATATATATATATATACACACATACACATTCAAAGGGCTTCCTGTCTCTACTTTAAATCCTCATGCCACTTTCTTTCCGAAACGTTGGATAAATCTTTCAAATAACAAAGTAAGTATATTTAATAACAAAAAACATTTTACTCTTCATGGTTCTCTAATGTGTAACCTCTATGACAATTTCTTGTAAGGTTCACCATTCCAATTTTACTTTCATAAAACTTACTGCATGACTGGTACATGCCAAATGTGTTACAATATTTTAAAATACAATTAATTAATACTTAATATATTTTATCATAGTAGCTTTTAGAGGAGCACATTAAACTTTCCTCAAATAGAAAAGACATTTTCACATAAGTAAAACTTAAAAAAGGATGTCTTTACTAGGTATAGAAATAAATTGTAAAATGTTTTAAAACTTTTCACTAAATTCAAATCCTTCCAAATTGTTTCTCCAAACTTTCAAATGCCAATATGTATTTAAATGTTTAAATATTTTCAAAGTTATTAAAATTATCTTACAGACACCTTTTCTTAAGAATAATAAAGGTATGTTTATAGATACATAATAAGCCTTAAAAAATACCTGAGAGGTCTCGCCTGGGGATTGCCTGCTTCTACATATGGATGTAAATAATCCTTTATGTAGAGATCAGCAGCGCTATTAGAATGGGTGCAAATGAGAATCCTGCTGGAATAAATGGTGCAAATAAAAAGAATGATAAAACACAAAACAATTAAAGTAGTAAAATATCCAAAAAAAAAAAAAGCAGACAGTGGCCATCTTTCCATACAATTCTCTGAAACTGTTCACTAATCTCCATGATACATGATTTAATGAGGCTTTTATGAAGTTATGTTCATCTTCAAACCATCAAAAGAATTACATTTTATACAAATTACTTCTAAAATCTTTCAGATAAGATAATAATATACTACAATATAAGCACACTTTGGAGATCTAAGTGCCATCATAATTTTAAATGTATAATGGAGAGCTTTCTTAAACTATTTAAATACAATTACTCTCTATACTGCAAATTCTTTTTAAAAACAGATAATTTTTAAGAGTAATTAATGCCCCCAAAACACTGACAGAGAATTTTTTAAGCTCAATGAAAATTTTGTTCTACTTTCTACTGGCCTTCCTTCAGTATATAAGGGGAAAATTAGCTATTTATATTGTTAATTAAATTTCAAAACCTCTATACCACCATCTCACCTAGTATCCTGTTGTTGGAGTATGTGCTTGACTGCCTGAGCTAGAGTGAAGGTTTTGCCTGTCCCATAGGGACCAATGATAAGAACAGGAGGCAGCTGTATTGAAAGTGGGGTGGTAATAGCCAGAACAGCCTCTTTCTGTTTTGCATTTAGTCGAGGATCCAACTGCTCATCCCATTGCCTATATTTAAAAAAAAAAAAATTTGAAAATTATTTTCAACACACCAGGTTACTTAACTAATGAACAATAAACAATAAACATTTAAAATATCTAGAAAACTAATGCTTATTTTGAAAATACATTTTTTAAAATGCCATTCAATTTTATCATGTAATGATTTACAATTAAACCAAGCTAAAATAAAAATTATTCTTAAAGCTTAATTTACTTTAGGTAATAAAAGATTTTAATAAATTACCTGAAGAAATCACAAACTACCTATTACCATTTTTTATGCAGTGATATTAAGTCTACCAAAAAAAACCTTATCATTGTTAATGTTTTGATATATATAATTTTACTACATTTTATGAAAGCATCTGAAAAAAATACATATATTTGTGCAAATATACACAGATATATGAAGAAATATACTGCAGAAATTGCAGAAATCTTGGCTCATTTCTTTACATAGTCAATATAACAAACTTGAGAGAGAGAATCCATTGCTAATTCATCAAAAGATTTATTTTGGAAAGCTAAAAAATTTACACATTCTACGTCTAGACACTGAAAACATACATCAAAGATTAGCTTTATTTTCACACCAACACCATTTTCATTCAAAGATGTCAAGGGTTTAGAAAATGGCAGCTTGATTCAAGAATACCTTAAACGGTTGCAAGCTTTTGAATGATACAAATGTAAGTATACCGTGTAGTGAATACCTGCCACAGCAGCACAAAGGGTCATAATTTGGCTGGGCTTAGAAGACCTGCACTGAGGCAGCAGTGGCAGTGATAAAAATTAGTGGGGAATTAATTGTATGCTTTTCCATCAAGACTATAACAATTCAGGCACATAATAACCTAAGTCTGATGAGGAAGATAACAGGTGCAGGAAGTAAAAGACAACAGCTAATTAGAAGAAGATCCTAAAGAAAATTGCAATCAAAGTGTCTAGCAAAATATTAGTGCAACATGAGTAGATAGTTCTGATAGCAAAATGTATTCTGCATGAAGACAAAGGGCTAATTTAGTTATTCACAGAAAAAACTATGGAAAATTTCCTTCATAAACACTGTGATGCTATGTTATAGGGTGTTACTTAAAACAAAACAAAAAGGGAAAAGAGTTACAAAGGTTTTTACCTTGGACAAACTAACCTTGCATTTGGTAACACCTCTCTTATCTGGAGGTCACTTTTCTGGAAACCTTAATGATCCAGAACATGGCCAAGAACTCAGAAGTAATTTTTTTTAATAGGCTCCCAAGGAACTAAAATAAAGGTCACATAGTCCATGCCATAAATTTAACGCATTTTTCCTCAGAGACATTTTCTCAGGCCTTCATTTAGACCTTATTTTATATACAGTTCTAATAAACTATAAAAAATTAAACACAAATCCAAATTGCAGGAATCTAGAGCCATTTAATGTAGAAGCCAACTATTCTATCTACTCAATAGTCTTCAAGGTCATTATTATATTATGTGCACATGTACATATCATGTGGTGTAAAGAATAGAAAGCAGGCCTCAGAGCCAGAAAGAAATGGGTTTAAGTCCCACCTTTAACACTACCGGGCTGATCATCTAATCTTTCAGTACTCTAGGCAACTCTTTAATACTTTAAGTTGTGGAGAAGGTGCCAACCTGCGTTGGTAAAGGGAATTTTATCACCCAGGAGTTTCCTAGACTCACAGTCAGAGATCCATTTCCTACACCTGTGCCTATCTGCATGCACATTATAATAATTATCATTGAAAATGATGATGCTGGGTTTCTTTTGAGGAATCAAGGAAGTAGAAAACGAATTTTTCAAGTACTTCAATCATAACTTATTATATGTCCAATAATTACTGAATAGTTAAATAAATTTCAGTATGTTAACATAACATTAAAATGGTAAATATAAAGCAAACAAATACAGACTTATACAATATGATACAGAATAGAATCAGCAGAAACAGAAGTTTATAAACACTAAGTACAGCTTGTGTTTTTGGAAGAAGAAAAAATAGAGGAAAAACTTGAGTCAGAGGACAAGCCAGAAAGAGAAGACAGAATAGAAGAATCTTTATTGCTTGTTAGCAGCTTGTGAACATAGTTGGTTCATTCTTGTTAAGGGATGTAGGCTTAACATAATATTTTATTCTGTCTTATATGTTCATTTAATTGTTCTTATTAACAATTTTTATAATTTTTAATTTAAATATTTTACCAAAATTAGTAAAATAAAAGGTTTTCATACTTAAAGGAACAAGTTTCGATTAAATCATATATTCATAGCAAACAGGTCAGAGAGATTATCTCATCTGGACCTCAAAATATTATAACTGAGGAAAATGGGATTGGTGTCAGCTGGGCTGACGCATCTCATGCTTCAGATTCACAGGTGAGACAAAAATGAGACAGTCATAAAACCATCTTAATAAAAAGAGGCTTACTTAGGCATAGCATGGAAAGAAAACTAAGGACAGCAACAGATAGAGAGTTTCTACCTTGTCTCTACATAGAAACTTAACTAGTCAGCAGACTATATTGGGTAGGATGGCATTGAGTCTGAAAGGCACTGATTCCTCCTGGGCAGGCCTTTTATGCCCTAGGCAGCTGGAAATTAAGATCAATGGCTCTAACCTAAGCCACCTGGACTGATCAAGTCTCATGGGCAGCTTCTATGCTTTTTTAGGGAAACTAGCCTAGTCAACATGGCAGTGCCTTAGGCAACCAGAAAGCCATGTCAACAGGATCAAGCTTCAGCACTCAAACTTTACTGGTCCAAGAAACTAAAGCTCATCCCACTTATCTAATTTCCCAGCTAGTTTTTCTGCCTTTTAGGGGAAAAAAAATAGCCTAGACAGATTCTGCCCATATCACAGAGTCTCAGAAAGGTGAAGTGATTTGCTCAAGGTCACTCTTCTATTAATCAATCAACCAATCAGCAAACATTTAATAGGCACCTGCTATGTGCCAAGCATTACGCTGGGTACTGGGAATACAAATACAAAAAAAAAAATGGAACAATCTCTACTCCCAAGGAGCTTGCATTCTAATGGGGGAGATAAGTACCAATATAAATATACCATAATTCAAATAAATACAAAATAATTAAATGCAAGGTAGTTGAGGAGAAAGAGCACTAGTAGTTGTTGGCATCAGGAAAGGTTTAATACAGAAAGTGGTGCCTAAACAGCATCTTAAAGAAAGCGAGAGACTCTATAAAGTAAAGGTAAGGAGGACAATACATTCTAGGTAAGCAGAACGGACAACACAAAGGCCCAAAGATGAGAAATGGAATATAATGGATAAGAAACAACATCAGTTTGGCTTAATTATGAAGTTCAGGAGGGGAGAAAAAAAGAGGAGATGGAGGAAGACACTGAAAAGATAGGTTGGGAACAGATTGTATACAGCTTTAAAAGCTAAACAAAGAAGCTTATGTTTCACTCTAGAAACAACAGGACACTATAGGAGTTGAATGAGTTGGAGAGTATCTGACATGATCAGATCTGAGCTTAAAGATAATTATTTGGGCCACAGTGTATAGGATACATTGGAGTGGTGGGAAACTTGAAAGACAGAGACCCAATTATAAGACTGCTGCAATAAATGTGTAAGTGGAGAGAAGTGATTATATAAATGAAATAAATGAGATGTCACTGCGCTTATACATTTGCATAATATTACATTATAAAAATAAGCACATCTCCAGTCTTTAAAATAGGTATTTCAAAAAACCAAAGAACATTAAAGGATATATAAAATGGATTGCACATACAATCAGAGCATTATAACAGTATTTTAAGTGTGATACAAACTACAGTTGTTCATTTTAGTTTCATGTCTATTAATTGTTAAAGAGTAAATATTTTTTCAAATCAAATTAGCACTCCTAATACCAGCTTAAGTTCAGTCACATATAAAAATGACCATGGCTACTGGCAATTTATGGAAAACCAATAAGTAGAAAAAACATGAAATCAATTTCCCTATCTGTTTAATAAGATTATAGAGTCTTCAAGGTAGAAATGAAAGGCACCTCAAAGGTCATCTATAACAACAATCTCATTTTATAGGCAAGAAAACAGGCTCAAAGAAGTGAAAAGACTTGCCCGGGGTTACACAAGTATAAGTGACAAAGCTGGAATTTGAACCCAGGTCCTTTGATTTCATCTTCATGAGTATAGTCAGACTATGGACTATGGTTAAAAAGTATCTAGTCTAATAAGTAGTAGTTACCATGTTTAAATAGTATTTCAAAGTAGTAACTTTTTTGAAGAAAATGTATGTTATTCGTCAGTCGTCAATGTGACAGACATAACACAAGGAAAATATAATTTACATATTAATCTATTTGGAAGTAACTAGTACATGAAACAAAACTATCTTGTGAAAAATAATCTATGAGAACAAATTTAGAAAAGATCTGAAAAGTCATATTTCCATAATTTGCAGAAAAGTATTTCTGGTATTAGATTTTGTTTCAACACCATCAAATTAATACAATCAAAAAAATACACCATGATTCTTTTGTTTAAAGAAAGGCAGAAAACTGATTGTGAATCTCTGATATTTTAACTTTGTTTTCATATCAACAGCACTTTCATTTACTCCTCCTACATTACCACAATGCCAAATGAAGATTTTATACAAAGTACACTTGTGTTTCAGAACACACCTTAGCTAATATGAAAAAATCCAATATGGCATTAATATGAGTTTCACGTATTACATTTTTTTACATTATTATACCTGTTAGGACTCCAAGGTATGGTGGGGGTCATGCTAACATCTGGAAACAGAATACTGTTGTCTTTGATCCTGTCCAAAGCATAATGCATTTCACAGAGTGGTAATCGATTTAATTGAAACTGAAGTTCAACCTGCAACCAAAAATACAGAAAACCTTTAAGTATAATGGTAAATATCTACATAGGAATGTATATACACAGCTCTTTACACATGTTAGGGGAAAGAGACTACTTTTCTGCTTTGTCTTTTTAACCCTACTGCCTAGGACAATGCCTTATTTGTCCTACATTTTTCTTTAATTGTTCTCTGTGTAGGTCTCTTGGCAAGGAACTTCCTCTACCAGTACAAATCAATCAATCAATCAATCAGTAAGCATTAAGTGCTTACTATGGAATAAGCACAGTGTTAAGCAGTGTGGACACAAAGCAAAAGTAAAAAGGGTTCCTGTCCTCAAAAAGCTAACATAATAATGTATAGCACTTTTTATCCTCACAATAACCATGGGAGATATTATTATATTATTCCTTTTATACAAATGAGGAAACTGAGGCAGACAGAGGTTAAATGACTTATCTAGGGTTACACAAGTAGTAAGTATATGTGGCAGGATTCAAACTCAGGTCTCCTTAACTCTGGAAGGTAACCTTAAATGGGAAGCTGAAAGGGTTGGAAAAGACCTGCTATAGAAGATGGTGCTTAAGCTGAATCTAGAAGAAAGCCAAAGAGGCATTCTAGGGAGGGGGAACAACCAACACAAAGGCTCAGAGACTAAATGTGTAAGGCGGCTATAAAGGTAGGAAGAATACAGGTTGTAAGGGGCTCTACAAGCCAAAAAAGTGATTCTATATTTTATCCTTACTAAATACTTTTTCGATTTAATTGGAGCTGCCAAAAGGGAAATGCTTCCCAATTTTGTTCACCATGATTATGGTAATATTTGGAATCATGCTATTTTTCTGTTTATTATGTTAAAGAAAGAGGCCAGCTAGCTGTTCAGATTTTAGCACATGGTATAATCTTGGTCAGTCATCTAGAATCTAGGGTTAGGTCCTCAAGTTTTGAAGGCTCAGGAACCAGAATTGATTAGTTTGCATATCTGTAGGTAATTAGACTCTGAGAAACCAACTCATTGTAACCAAATTCAGAGGACTCAACAGGATCACAGAATGCCAGTAGTTTTACAAGAAATATAACTGTGGAATAGACTGAATATTAATATTAATTAGCTATCACATTTTCTTCCCACTAGGAAAATCTACATGGAAAATCAAATTAATACTATACAATGATTACACAGTCATAGATACAAAGTTGAAATAAACCTTGGAAGCCAAAAAAAAAATCAAATTAATCAGAAGGCTGGTCAGTAAGCACAGAGTCAAAGTAATTTTTTTTTTTAAGTTCAATAATCTAAATGGATAGCGCTGTGAAACCTGTCTCCACTACAGCAGAATACTTGCAAATAGGCTACAGCCTATAAATTGATCAGAGCACTCTTTCTCTTGTGTAACCATAGGCAATTTTTAAAATTTTTTGGCTCTCCTTTTTTTAAATCTCTATTCAGAACATTATGACATTATGACAATTAAAGTATAATTTATTTTAGATTAATTTCTCCCTAAACTGATTTCAGAAAATACCCTACCAGTCTCTCGATAATCTACCTTGATGTCCTCACAATTACATTTGAAAAACAGATCCTACTTACAAGTTTTCCTTTCTAGTATATGATAAATTGATTTCCCTACCCAAGTTTAAAGACAAATGGCATATCACTGAACTGGAAAAGAAAATGATGCGAAAATCTGAAAACAAAAAAATATGTCACAGGTTACTTCAAATGAAAAGATAATTATTAATTATTGCTGAATGTATTACATATTTCTACTCCAACCATACAGAGGAAAAAGGTACTATTTTTTAAAAACAATTAAACTCATGCCAAGGAAAAAACAGTCAAATAAAGATGTTGAAAAAGAAAAATCTATGAGGCCAAGAGACTTTGTTCAAAACTGAATTAACTAGGCTAATCCTTTTTTCAAACCAGAGGCCAAATCAGCTATTTTAAAACTGATTAATACCATAATGTAGAGCAATTAGCCATTAGAACTTAATGACTTAGATTATCTAAGTAACAATCTCCAACTAAAAGGGACTCCTTCCATTTTAAGCCCTCTAAAACAAAGCCATCTCAATAACCAATCTATTAATAATTATCATCATAAAAACAACCCACTATGTCAGAAACAGTATAAATTACCAGAGACTTCCAGCGCTAGACCATCTAGTCTAACTCCCTTGTTTTACAAAGGTCCAGAGAGGTTAACGGATTTGCCCAAAACCACACAATGAATCCATGACTTTCCATTATATTATATTATATCATCTCCTACGGCTCCTTAGAGCAGTCAAAGGCCTAAACCTAGCATCTGGCCCAGTCACCCAGGAGAATAAGAAAGGGATTCTTCCTATAGAAAAACTAACTATACATGATTATCAAAGAACTCCAGTACATAAGAAGAAATGATCATTAAATGATATGGAAATTTATTAGGTGAACATAAATTTCTATGCAATTGAAAATTAAGACGATATACATCGAGTACTCTGAATATGATTATAAAGCTGACTTTATAATTGTAGGTTTCCTTCAATCCTATGGACAAGGAAGTCAATGTTAGGTGACATAAGCTACCTTTTCACTAAATGTTACACTAAAGAAAAGTTCCTGTGAAAAAGGTCTGGGGATTTTATTGAATTATATACTCAACATATATTTCAGCTATTTTTAAATATTTCAATAGTTCCGTGACCTGTTCATTGAAAGAATGAATGAAAAAGCATTTACTAAGCACTTAGTAAAATACAGACTATTGCACTAATCTTAGCAATACAAATATCAGAGACATTTTCTCTACTGTTATAGATGATATCTATCCATGTTTTCTCATCCTATATAATTTTTCTCCATATTCTCCCACAGATCTTTCATAGAGTACATGCTTTTCCAAAGCGTTAGAGGCCATCCTCTAGCTATATGTATGTTTCAGATACTAATACATCCATCGGGCTATCTATTATCCTTCAATATGGTTACATGAATGGCCATCCTGTTTTCCAACCATACATTTCTTTGATGAATTCCCTTATGTCCTTCCCTGCACATAGTTTATCACTGGAAAATATGCTGCAGTTTATTTCATCAACCATGCTTCATTTTATTGCTCTTTGGGTCATCTACAACTTTAATGCTTCAGAAGTTAATGTAATTACACATAATTCACATCACATAGCATCACAGAGGACATTTTTTAAGATAAATTTTTCTGCCACAGGTATAGCTTGATAATTGAAAATACTGTACAATATCCAAGTGAAATCCAGTCTGCTCTCTTCCTCTGAATGAGTCTGTTAATAAACATTTATTAAGCACCTAACATATGCCAAACGCTGTGCTTAGTGCTATATAGGTACAAAAAAAGGGAAAAGACAGTTCATGCCCTCACAATTTAATTGGGGAAGCAATAAACAAACAAATATGAACAGAAATACAGAATAGGAAATAATTAACAGAGAGAAGGCAGTAAGATTAAGAAGAGTTGGGAAAAGAGGCTTCCTGTAGAAAATAGCATTTCAGTTGTGATGTAAGGAAGTCAGGTAAGCCAGTAGGCAGAGATGAGGAGGGAGAATATTCCAGGTATGGAGGACAACAAGAGAAGATGGCCAAAGTTAAGAGATGGAGTATCATATTCATACAACAGCAAAGAATTCAGAGTCACTGGATCAAAGAGTACATAGTAGAGAGTAAGGTATAAAAAAACTGGAAAGGTAGGAGAGGGATAAGTTATTAAGGGCTTTTAACACCAAACAGATTTTGTATTTGATCTTGGAGGAAATAGGGAGCCACCAGTGTTTACTGAGGGGGGTTGGAGGGTTGACATGGTGGCACCTGAGCTTTAGGAAAATCACTTTAGGGGCTGAATGGAGAATGGATTGGAGGGAGGAAAAGACTTGAAGGAGTCAGACCCACTAGCAAGCTATTGCAATAGTCCAGGCATGAAGTGATGAGGGTCTGCACTAGAGTCCTGATAGTGTCAGAGGAAGGAAGGGAGCATATTCAGAGATGTTGCAAAGGTGAAATTGACAGAACTTGTTAATAGATTGAATGTGGTGGGTGAGAGATAGTGAGGAGTTGAGGATGACGCCTAGCTTGCAAGCCAAAGGAAATGGGAGGATGGTGTTGCCCTCTACAATAACAGGGAAGGTAGGAGGTAGGGAAGGTTTAAGAGGAAAGACAGTTAGGTTCAGTTTTGGACATGTTGTGTTTACTGGACATCCAGTCTGAGATATCTGAAAAGCATTTGGAAATGCAAGGCTGAAAGTCAGCACAGTAGTTAGGGCAGGACAGGTAAAATTGAGAATCATTAGCAGAAACTCAAATCCATGGAAGATGAGATCACCAAGTAAGGTAGTTTAGAGGGAGAAAAAAAAAACAAGGACCAAGACTGAACCCTGTGGGACAGCTGTGGTTAGAGGACATGAGCTGGATAATGATCCAGCAAAGGAGACTGAGAAAGAGCAGTCAGATAAGTAGGAGAACCAAGAAAGAGTGGTGTCCTGAAAACTAAGAAAAAAAGAGAGTATCAAGGACAATTGTGGGAGAGTGATCAACAGTGTCAAAGGCTACAGAAAGGTCACAGAGAGTGGGAATTAAAAAACTAATGGATTTGGAGATTATTAGATCAATATTAACTTTAATTCTGGGCTCAATCCACCAACCATCTGTCCCAGATATATTCTTTAATTCAATGCACTGGCCATCCACTCCATACAATACACATTCTTCATCCAGTTAGTTTTTCTTGTATAAATCGGGTAAACGGGGAACTCACTGAAGGGGCCCTGTAATGTTCTGAGGCTTGATACAATCATCACATCATCTTTAAGTAGAAACATCTGGAGGAACTCACGCTCTACAGAAAATCTCTGACACTTGGTCCTGTTGCTGGATATCCTCCCTTATGATAATTAAATACCTTTGATAAGCATTTGTCTCCATTTTTTATGCCTTGATTGATATCATCAATCAGAAATGGGTTGTTTTGATCAAGGACTTTTGTATGATCTTTAC